CACAAGCTCTGTGCGGGCTCTGCTTCCCAGATCGACAAAAAGATCGTGAGGACGGAGATCGGGGTCCTGCTGCGGCTCTCACACCCCAACATCGTGAGTAGGACCCTCGTGACACGGCTGCCACCTCCCTTTGGGTCGGGTCCATGGCTGCTGGGGACGGGTTTGCCCTTAACTCAGCCCAGTGCTGAGGGAAGGGCTGAATGTCCTTGTCCTCATCCCAGCTTGGTGCAGGGTGAAGGCACCACCCCATGGAAAATCCTTCCTTGCACCCCATGGAAAACCCTCCCTGCACCCCATGGAAAACCCTCCCTGCACCCCATGGAAAACCCTTCCTGCACCCCATGGAAAACCCTTCCAGCACCCATGGAAAACCCTTCCTGCACCCCATGGAAAACTATTCCTGCACCCCATGGAAAACTATTCCTGCACCCCATGGAAAATCCTTCCTGCACCCCATGGAAAACTATTCCTGCACCCCATGGAAAATCCTTCCTGTACCCCATGGAAAACCCTCCCTGCACCCCATGGAAAACCCTCCCTGCACCCATGGAAAATCCTTCCTGCACCCCATGGAAAATCCTTCCTGTACCCCATGGAAAACCCTTCCTGCACCCCATGGAAAACCCTTCCTGCACCCATGGAAAATCCTTCCTGCACCCCATGGAAAATCCTTCCTGCACCCCATGGAAAACCATTCCTGCACCCCATGGAAAACCATTCCTGCACCCCATGGAAAACCCTTTCTGCACCCCATGTCCCCTCCCTGCCTCACCGACAGTGTCCAGGTGATTCCCCACTCGCTGCCACATGAAATTCCTGGTCCTTGCAGCTGCTCTGAGCTCCCAGCTCTGATATCCAAGGCCAAAGACACCCCCCTGTCCTCCCCCTCCCCACACCCTGGCTTGAGATTTCCACCAGGCAAGCAATTTCCATCGAGGAGATCAAATGAATCCCGGGAAAATTGTGTGTTTGTAATGAATCCTGCCAGGGGAGATAAAAGGGGAGGCTGAGGCTGCGGGGGCTGGGGCCGTGTGCTGCCCACCGCTGTTCCCTCGCTCAGCTCTCCGGGGATAACGGGAGCTCCGGGGGCCTCCATGCCCCCCACCTCCCAAAAAAGGCTCGTTCCTGAATGTGTGGTTCCACTGGGAAGTGGCAAAAGGATCTTGGAGAACACCTGAGTTAAGGAAATGATGCAAAAAAAACACCTGGGAGCTGCTGTGGGGCTGAGGGGCCCTGCTCTGGATGGGATTGTGGTCAGGACATTGATGGGACATCGCTGGGACATCGCTGGGACATCCCTGGGACATTGTCTTGCCACTGGCTCTGCTGCCCAAGCCTCAGCATCCCTCAAACCCTGGACACGGCTGCTCCCAGCCCATCCTTGGAGCTTTGCTCTCTGGAGAAGCCCCAAACCCTTCATGCAAAAAGATGAAGCCAAGAGAAATCTCAAACATCCCAAAAACCAGAGAGAAAACGCTCAAAGCACTGGGGGCAGGTCATCTCCAAACCTCTCAGCCAGCTCAACGTGGGCCCGTTTTGGGGCGTTGCAGTGTTTTGGGGCAATTTGGTGCTTCAACCTCTTCCATGGAGAAACTTCCCCTCATCCCAGGACATGTGGGCAGACGCAGGGATAACAGCCAGGACGGGAATCATCCGCTCAGAGCAGCCCAGGTGAGGCCAGCCGCGGATGGGAAGAGGCTCCTCTCTGATGTGTTATCAGGAACACCACAGAAAATCCAATTTCTGCCCTCCCCTCTCCTCCTGGGAGCCGTGGAGGAGGATCCAGCCCGTTTGAATATTTAAATCCCTGAGGTTTCCGTGGGGTTCTGCTCATCCCGAGTTCAAGTGATGTTTGAAGAGGAGCTGCTCTGCTCCATTATTGACGCCGGCGCCGCTATCGTGCGGCACCGACCTCGGCAGAGGATGATAATAGGATTGTAAACTTTTGAAGTTAATAGGAAAATTATAGTGCTCCGTGTATTATTATAATGCAATAAGCTGCCACATAGTGTCTCTCACCCCGCGGGGGATCACGGCTTGTCACCCAGCCTGGGAAGGGAATGATTAAAGCCCCATGAAATTCGTGGTGTCACAAAAGTCTTAAGAAGCGTGAAATTCTTGGGTTTCCATTTTTTTTTTTTTAAATTAAAAAAAAAGGGGAAAAAAAAAAAGGAAAAATTGCGTTTGGACTTCGCTTTAAGAGAGAATTGTTAATTCCAGATGGGCTGTGGAGGCACAAAGGGCTCGTGTGGGAGCCGAATCTCAAAAAAATCTGGAGGAAAACAGGGGTTTGGTGCCTCTTGCGCTGCAGAACAATCCAAGGGACATTTCCAGATGGATCCCAGAGTGGCTGTGACCTCACAGGATGTGTCCAGCTCTCCCTCATCAGGATCCATCCCCTGGGACTGGACAGGGGCTCTGAGGTGCCCATGGAGCAGCGAAATTCAAATCCTCTCGAGGGGCTCTGACAAACCCATCGGAGATGTGAGGAGGATCAAGGCTCTGCACATTCCCAGACTCATCTTTAATCTGTGTTAAGTGAGCGGGGCTGCTGTGGACAGTTAAAAAAAATTCAGGTGAAAACAAATCAAGAGTGGGGAAAAACCAAATGGAGAAGGGAAATGTTTGCCCTGAAATGACCCTTTCCCCCCTCCCTGGCGGTCACAGCTTCCCCCCAGCAGAGTTGGGATGCATTCCCACATCCCATATCCCACATCCCTGTATCCCATATCCCATATCCCATATCCCATATCCCACATCGAACATCCCATGTCCCATATCCCATATCCTATATCCCACATCCCATATCCCATACCCCATACCCCATATCCCACATCCCTGTATCCCATATCCCATATCCCACATCCCATATCCCACATTCCATATCCCATATCCCACATCCCATATCCCATATCCCATATCCCATATCCCACATCCCATATCCCACATCCCACACCTCACATCCCATATCCCACATCCCATATCCCATATCCCACATCCCATATCCTACATCCCATATCTCATATCCCACATCCCACACCCATATCCCATATCCCATATCCCATATCCCATATCCCATATCCCATATCCCATATCCCATATCCCATATCCCATATCCCATATCCCATATCCCACATCCCACACCTCACATCCCGAATTCCCTCCTGTCTCCGTTCCCAGATCAAGCTGAAGGAGATTTTCGAGACGCCCTCGGAGATCGCGCTGGTGCTGGAGCTGGTGACGGGGGGAGAACTCTTCGACAGGTACGGATCCGCCGCGGGGGGATGGATCCCAGCGGGATGGGGGAGGAGGAAGAGGAGGAGGATGGAGGGGGCTGAAGGCTCCGTTTGCCCCCAGGATTGTGGAGAGGGGGTTCTACAGCGAGCGGGATGCGGCGCACGTGGTCAAGCAGATCCTGGAGGCTGTTTCGGTACCGTGAGGGGGTCCCGGGGGTGCTTTGGGGGTGGCACTGGGGGGGCTGCACCCAAATGTCCCTGGGGAAAGGGGCCTGGGGCTGTTCCCATCCCAAATATCCCTGGGAAGAGGCACCTGGAGCTGCAGTGATCCCAAATATCCCTGGGGAGAGATGCTCAAAGCTCCCCCCATCCCGAATATCCCTGGGGAGAGATGCTCAAAGCTCCCCCCATCCCAAATATCTCTGGGGAGAGGCACCTGGAGCTGCAGTGATCCCAAATATCCCTGGGGAGAGATGCTCAGAGCTCCCCCCATCCCAAATATCCCTGGGGAGAGGCACCTGGAGCTGCAGTGATCCCAAATATCCCTGGGGAGAGGCACCTGGCGCTGTCCCCATCCCAAACATCTCATTTGTCCACTTGCCCTCGCCCTTCCAAAGGCTCCGCTGGGAGAAGATGGATCCGCCCTTGGAGGGGATGAAGGGGAGGGAGGAGGAAGGTCAGGGCTGCTCTGCATCCCAGAGTTTCCATGGCAACAGGAGGCTTTTAAAAAACGGCAACTCCTGATTGGAAACTGTTCCCGAGTTGGTCCCGAGTTTGTGACAGGTCCCCAATCGCTGCTGCCACCTCCCAGATTGTGTCTGTGTCCTTTGCACATCCCGTTTTCCCTTTTTCCGCAGTATTTGCACCAGAACGGAGTCGTGCACCGGGACCTGAAGCCGGAGAACCTGCTCTACGCAGACCTGTCCCCCGATGCGCCCCTCAAAATCGGTGCGTTGGGGACCCTGGCGGGGTTGGGGACCCTGGGGGATCCCTGAGCCCCTCCCTGATGGCAGCGCCACTCCCTCGTGTCCCTGCAAGGTGACTTCGGGCTCTCCAAGATCGTGGATGAGCAGGACACCATGAAAACCGTGTGTGGGACACCGGGGTATTGCGGTGAGCGAGGGGAAAACCGGGGAGAGGGAAAGGGGACGGGAGGGACATTCTGGGGAGAGGGAAAGGGGACGGGAGGGACATTCTGGGGAGGGGGAAATGGGGACAGGAGGGACATTCTGGGGAGGGGGAAATGGGGACAGGAGGGACATTCTGGGGAGAGG